GGCAATATGCTGACTCTCTGTAAACCGCTTAGAGAGGCCTGAAAGGCCTATGAAGCGGTATATAAGTCTACTGCTATTGCTATTGCTATTGTTATCTTAAAATGAGATTAATAATTCAATGTAAGTGTCTATGGAGATTTTCAGTCATCCAGGTCATGGTTGCCTCAAAGGTGTTTTTTTTTCTGGTTAGAGAGCAGCAGAGCTGAAGAAGCTTCTTGGATGAGAAGTGAACTGTCTTCAAAGAAAAACCAGAAAGTCCAGTTGCCTCTTGAAAAAAGCACCTTTGGAATTCAATATAAGATTTCCTTATATTGGACAACACAAGCAACATTTACAAAAAATAGTTTGCTAGCAACCTTATTATGCTGAAATTATGCATTGATGAGATATACACACACATATGCATAATATGCTTCAGGAGCAGCATGATTTAAATAGGTGAATGTAAGTACCAATCATATACCAAATAGCTGAAATCAATCATTATATAAAGAATTTTAGTCACATCAAGTAGGAGGTACAGAAAAAAATGTGTACTCTTTTACAGTGGAAAGATAGTCTATCACAAATTTATGGTTCTGAATAGGTACGTATTTGTTCTGTGCTTGTAAAATGGCTCTTTATTGACTTAATGGGAAGTCTGCTCAATATTACATTCTGTGTGATTAATCAAGGCTTAATGATATATTTAAGAGATGGTATATAGATAAATAAATATATATGATAGATAAATAAATAAAATCAGATTGTTTAAATAGCTTTTTCCTGCTTACTCAGTATTCCTTCCCAATTTTCTCTCTTTTTCAGATGATATATTGTAATGATATGTGGGAATGATCTGGAGAGATGGAAGAATGGCAGCCAGGGGAATTCTGGGATAAGAGGAATCTTGATCTGCAGCAGGAATGTGGGCATGGCAAACATCTTAAAAGGAACCTTCTCTAATTTATTTGGGTGTAGAGCGGGGTAGAAATATACTTCCAGACTCGCAGGATTCTGTTAATGTAACAGTAGTCCATCTGTGTACTTCCCATCTGGATTACTTACAAGATTACTTAACATATATTGAGTAACAACATTATTCATTTTAATCTGAATCCTACTATATCTCACAAATTATCTGCTTTTATCTTGTAGCTTAATGTCAGGAATTTACATCTGACTAACACATCAGGAAAGACAGGACCTCTGTAAACCAAGAGATAAGCGACTTAAATTACAGCTCAACCAGCTGTAGACAGAATGTATGGAGGTAGGGATAAGGAATCTAGCCCATTAATGCCTTGATATCTGACCAATGCCTAGATTGCTGCTCTTCCTCCTGTCTCTCAAGGACATTCTCACAGACCATTATATATCCCTTGAATACCTACTCCATGTTGGTGAGCTTCTGAACACATCCAGTTGGCCAGGGTGTGGGAATGAATATTGGATTAGACAGGCTCTTGACCAGATCTAGGAATCATCTTAAATTCTAATCTGGGAGCATCCATTTTTATGGTTCAACACCTTACATAAGAACAGTCAACATACAAGACCGTTTCTTTGGATTAACTAATTTCACATGTCAAATTGTGATTTCCAGTGACTCCAGAGAGCATTCATTGATGTGTTTGTAGCTAGTTTCTATTTAGAAAGGTGCCACCTGATATGTTAAGTCCTATACGCTGTACGACAGCAAGAAAAGTGTGAGACTGTGAGCTCTAGTTTTGATTAGTCCAGGCAATCATCACAAATCAACATTGATACTGTGTGTGCTAACACATAACTTTTGAGTGAGGGCAAACAGACCTGATGATTTGGCAAAATATCACAACTGAACAGAGATCCCCCCCCCACCCCTTAAAAATGTTGCATGCCAATCTTGGTGTCATGCTGGCAATCGTGATGGAGTGATATCATTTCCTTCTCAGACTGAAAAAGCTACTTGGATAAGCAGCAAAACGTTTCAAACTAAAGAAAAAAGAAAAGTCCACAGTTACCATGACTCAACTTCCAGTTTCCTTCTCAGCTGTTTTTAGTGCTGAATCAATGGGTTTAGTATGTTTTGTTTATTTTGCAAAGAAATAATAATTTGGGATTGAGTCAATCCCACACGCCCACTCACATGGACTGGACACCATGCAGCTTTTGCAGCACATCAGCACACTTCAATGCCATCCAATGGCTCCATTTTTAAAGAGCCAAAGATGAAATGATTTACTAGCAAGCAAACCCTTCTCAAGATTGCAAATAAATGCTTGCACGTCTCCAAGGCAGAACTGGTAAGGAGGTTAGATGCTTTGTCCTCCCTAGTCACCGCTTTCCCTCTGCACAACCACCAACTACAGGCCTGGGAGACCAGACTCTGGTTGGGGAAAGGACTGAGCTGCATGACTGCGGCACTGGTGCTGGCACGTGTTTATCCACGGTTAATATAAGTCCACCATTAACTACAGCTGCATAATCGACCATTTCGGCTTCAACCTTCTGAATCCAGGAGCCTCAGTGGATCACCGCCGCGTGCCTTCGTGTTAAAAGCAAGGGGAAGCCCTGTAGTAGCAGGCAGCTTTACCAACGGGGGGAATTGCCAGGGTCTGAACCGCCGGTCCCTGGCTAAGTTCTTCGCAGTAAGACACAGCGTGCCAAAAGCGCTTGGCGGCTTTTCTGCAGCGCGGGGCCGCTTCCTTCCCACTCTGCCTCACGCAGGGCCCGGGCTGCCCTGCATACAACCGGCGGAAAACGCGGCGTTTCTTGTTTCCGCAGCGGCGGATCGCGGGCGTCGCTTGGCGGCCGCTGTGCGAGATGAGCTTTTGCGGCGGGTTTCCCAGTCAGTCCGGTCGTGCGGAGGGGGGCGGCGGGATGGTGTCTGCCGGTGATGAGCTCAGGACCTGTGGGAGGGGCCGGTGGCCTATATAAAACCTCGGCGGCCACCGCGCCATAGCCTGTCCGGGCGAACTGCGGCAGAGTCAAGGTGGGGAGCTGGACGTAATGTGAACGCCGGGGTCGGGGGTGGAGTGCGGCGGGGTGGTGGGGTTGGGGGGAGCTTGCCCAGGGTGAGTAGGTACCATCGCTGCAGGACTGGTAGGACTTTTTGTCCCATTGCTTAGGGAAACCTCCCAGCGCCTGGTGGAAACATCTCCATGCCAAGCAAGAAGGGCGAGCGGACCCAGTTTGGGAAAGTAAATCCCTCGCCCGTTAGATACCGGGAGCTTTTTAAGGCTAGCTGCTGCCGGGGCGTAAAAGCGAAAGGTCCAGACAGCCGGCGGGAGGGAAGCGGGGGTGACGCAGCTCTCCGACTCTCTCCTTCAGGCTGGAACAGTCTCGAAGGTGGGGACTGGAGTTGACTTCGCCTGGATGGAAGAATGACTTGCGGCGATGCAGTTTTCCCTCCCTTCCTTTTGGAAGGTGGAGAAGAGCGTCGCCCTCTCCCTAGCGGGTGCAAATGTAACTTGGGAACGGTAGGAACGCGGGCAGAAGTGGGCATCTCTTGGCCGCGCTGGGGAGAGCTACGGGAGGAACGATGCCCTTAGTGGGCTCGAACGCTGGGCTCCACTATGGGGAAAATGACTGGGAGAAGTAGCCGGTCCGTACTTGCCTGAAAACGGGTGGAGGGCAGGTTGTGTGAGGGGCACCGGTTGGGGAGGGTAGGATGCTCTGGGCTTGGGAGAAAGAATGGGAGGGCGAGGCTCCTAATAGTATGCACCTGCTTTGCACACAATGCATGCCCAGCATAGCATTTCCACGTAAAAGGTGAAAAAGAACTAAGACTTGGCAACAAGCTCATCTGGTAACCACATACTGAATGCTTTGCCAAGGCTTCCATCCCCGTTTTGGGTTTTTTTTTTTGCTTAATTCTTCCATCTTGCAGTCCTGAGATTTCCCGTGAATGTCCCATTTGAGCACTTAATGAGTCTCACCCAGGTGAATTTTGCAGTGAGCTTGGTGATGCCAATTTGCTGTAGGACAGGGTGGAAATTTAGGCTTGGCAGCAGTGCCTACTCCTCTTCGTTCCTATTGATATTTTCTTCAGTTCATGTGTGTGTGTGTGTGTGTGTTGGGGGGGTGTTTCTTGGTAAGTTGGGCATTTGAATGGGGCACATTTTTTATTTTCTTTATTTCAGATATTTTTCTGGCCACCCAACTCAACCAACGGTATTCTAGGCAGCATACAACAAGATCAGGGGATGGGTAATATTGCCTAATAGTGAAAGCCCAGCTCTGTGTCTGGTTCTTGTTTGCTTTTACACCTGTGTTTCTCAACCTTGGCGACTTTAAATCCTGTGGACTTCAACTCCCAGAATCCCCCAGCCAGCTTTGCTGGCTGGGGGATTCTGGGAGTTGAAG